AGCTAGCCAGCACCGTCTGCGGTGGGGAACCCCGAGCTATCATGGCACAGTCTGTGGTGGTGAAACCCCGAGCTAGCATGGTACAGTCTGCGGTGGTGAACCCCGAGTTAGCCAGCACCGTCTGTGGTGGGAAACTCCGAGCTAGCCAGCACCGTCTGCGGTGGGGAACCCCGAGCTATCATGGCACAGTCTGCGGTGGGAAACCCCGAGCTAGCATGGTACAGTCTGCGGTGGTGAACCCCGAGTTAGCCAGCAGTGTCTGCGGTGGGGAACCCCGAGCTAGCCAGCACCGTCTGCGGTGGTCAACCCTGAGTTAGCCAGCACAGTCTGCGGTGGTGAATCCTGAGCTAGCACGGCACAGTCTGCAGTGGGGAACCCTGAGTTAGCACAACACAGTCTGCAGTGGGGAACCCCGAGTTAGCCAGCACCGTCTGGCAGTGGTTAACGCTGCGTTATTTGTGTGAGGATTTGGATTATCAGTGAGCTCATGGAGCTACGCCCAGGGGCTGCTAGAAATATTTAATTAAAGGCCCTTTGAAAGGCGGCTGAGGTCCCCCCCATGTGAGTGGGAACAGGAGCCAGCCGACTGCACATTTTAACTGGTCACGTGCCCCCATCTGTACACACAGGCTGGTGAGGCCTGGTCGAACTTGAGCTCCGCAGCAATATAAAACTCTGTGATCTCTGGGGATCTGAATGTTTAGTGGATATGACACTAATGCACACACACATACATGCACACGTGAAATATCTTTTAGCTTTCACCTTCCGGAACATAATTATTATTACCACCATTGTGTAGATGACGTTCCAAGAAATAATAATTTGCCAAGCTCACAAATCTAGCAAGGTACAGCGTCAGGGTCTGATAACGGGGCTTGGGATAATTAGGGGAGAGGAAAGGGTCAGACTGGGACTCACAGAGCAGCACGCGGAGTGCCTGAGCGCCCGGGACCACCCGCCCACTGTGAGCCATGGCCGAAGTGGCAGAGGGCCTGCTGTGTGCCAGGCGCCGTGCCAGGGTCTTTCCTGGTGGATGTGTTGGTCTCTACAACGTTTCTCCGAGGCAGGAACTGTCTGACCATCATCTTCTAGAGGAAGAAATGAAGTCTGGGAAGGTTAACGACTTGTCCGAGGCCGTGCAACTGTGAAGGATAAACACGACTTCCAGCCCACCTCACCTGCCGGTCTGTGGCCCTGTTTTCGTACCGCCTGTCTCTATGCCCTGTCTGTGGCTGCTTTAGTGACACAGGGCAGAGCTGCACAGTTATGAAAGGCCAACCAAAGGACTGACTTTAAGAGAAAAAGCGGTTGGCTCCTTCGATGACTGACATTACCTTGCAAAGGTGCAGTGGGCGGGAGGACGGACAGCTGGGAAGTCAGGAGTGTGGCCGGAGGCTCGGATGATGACCCCTGGGAGAAGGCCAGAGCACGGCCCGGGAGTGTCCTTGGGACTGAGACCTGTGAACTGTGACCCTAGGATTGGGCTGTGACCCTGCCCCTGTGGGCAGACGTTACCCAGGCTGGTGAGAGGCTTCGGGGTACAGAGGAGGACTGAGCCTCCTCTCAGAATCCTCATGAATCAGGGAACGGACAGGAAGGCTTAGCTGACAGGTGCAGAGTGAGGTTATGCGATGGAAGTAGAGCCAG